CTTACCAATACCAAAGTGAAATGAAGGAAGCGTGCAGCTGGGTTCGTACCAGGGGTTCCGGAACACCCATTCCTTGGCACACGACGCATTTCGAATATAATACCTTATTTGCCAAATCAATGCGGTAACATATATTTGACTCGTCYAACAGTTTCTTCGGTTTGAATCCAAAACAATAATCGATCATATTTTGCAGTCAATCGCTTTCTTAACAGTGAAACAGAAAAAAAGGTAGAGCCCTTTTTCCCTTTACTCCTCATGAAAACACTGCATATGCCAGTTCTGAGACGTTATTGTATGAAAACATTTCCATCAACACCTATCCGGATGATATTCAGGGCCGGATTGTTCAAAGACCGATTAAGCGTTAATTCTGGGTTAACTCTTAGAAAACCTATGGAGTTAACCCTGGATTAACACTAATCGGGCTTTGAACAACCCGACCCAGATATTCAGATGGTTCTTTTCTAGGCACCGTATTCAAAAAGCTCTATTTTTTTCTGTTCCTTGAGTCGTGCAGATAGAGGCCGTAAGCGCTTGCATCTCTCGTTGTAATTGGGAAACCTAGAAATATTGTAATAAGTCAGACTGAACCCAATGGTACAATTCGGGCATCGAATATCCATGTACGTTTTTTAGAAGAATGATTTCAAAGTCAACCTTGGATATCGCTGTTATAAAATATATGACAATTTAGCGTTAACCCTTTTTAATTTTTTTTTTTTTAATTTCTTTGAAGTTCGTTTTTATGCATAGCAGAGTTGCTCCTTTTGTCGATTTTMATCGCAGCGTTCATGACACCAAAATATGCAGCATTGTATGTAGACTGATATAGACTCTTAGGGGAGGGGAGGGGGATTTGTATTACAATCTTCTTAACCATTTGAACAACCTCTGCGCTTTTTTTTCTTCGATATGTCATCAAATGAGCAGTAGATGAATTATTCAAGTACTGAATTTTGAGATACAGTAGTTAGTGTGAATGGGCCAGGATACAAATCTCGAAATGGGCCTAAAGTCCTATTGTGTAYCCCAGTCAAAGGGGGAAGGTCTTCAGACGACCGATGGCGACCGCTAGTTTATCAATGTAAGCAATTCATCAATATCGAGGTAATTTRAAAACCACTCATAACATTTTGCTCAAATAGCTATAAACAATAGATTGATATTAGCTTGAATTGACTGGACAGACCCATGACAAGTTACATGATCAATTTATCACTTTAAAAAGCAGAATCGAATTCAGTTTTAACCAGTATAGGCCTGAAATCTTTGAAAATTAGCGGAAAATTGTCGAAAAAAGTTCTTATTCATTCACTAAAAATGGATTCGGGTCAGACCGTTGAGTTCTGACCAATAGAACGCATGCTCAGACCCGAACTAAATGTGAAATTATGTGAGTGACGAAACATTTTGGGTCATCAAACAGTCAAATTTTTGGGGTGACCAAAWTCCTTTGGACTCCTTCCATCCTGTTTAATTTCCCATCCAAACAGTCCTCRCAGCCTTCAAAAACGCGTTTTTACAAATGCAATGYAAACCGCATTTTTGGGCGATGTGTATATTATATGGACACAAGGTTTAAATAGAACTCAAATTTATTCAAACAAACTCGCGCCGTCGACTCGCAGAGTCTGAGGGTAATTTTGACCGCGTTTTTGATCGCCGGTGAATATTTCCAGGCGATTTGTGCGACTGGGACGATTAAGATAATGATATTCTTGCACTACGCACATTTCTATTAGCTGCTTATCTGAGAAGCCAGTAGCCAATAGTCTCCTTCACGGATACCTGGTAACCGTGAAGGAGACTATTAGCGTAAAGCGAACCTTCGCAACCATAACCCAGAGASGAAATAYATTATTCGCTAATTCGATACCTGACCATGGACAGATAATAGTCTTTTTTTAAATAACACAAGAAGAATATAAATTTCAAAACAAGCTGTTTGAAATTTTTAAGATGAATATAAGGGATATACAAAAAATTGTTGAACGATACAATATGTCAAAGTGGACACCTTCTTTGGTGCTGTGGATTGTTGATGAAACATCTAACATAGTGGATGGGATTTGAAGGCGTTTGACCTCCCAAGTTTTGTTACACGAAATTATTTTGACCATTTCAGGATATTGTAGGGTTGATTAAAATGCTACTTGATGAAGTAAATGACGTCATCTACTCCAACATTTTTTCCCCTAAATTATTAAGGATTTGTATCAATATCTTCTTGAAATCTGTTGCCTCATGATTATTAGACCCATATGGATAGGTCTATTTGATTTCCAACTCTTTTCTAATGTTTCGCAATTTTCGTCCAAGTAGCCCTTTAAATGCTTTTATAAACTCGTTCAATGAATCAAAAGACAAAATTCACACTCGTGAATCACCACACCTTACTTTCAAAGCTTTAAACAAGCCCCTTTAAAAAAAACAACAACAACAACAACACAAAAACAAACGGTCGCAAAGCATAAAGAGCCTGTTAATGATCGAGCAATGTCTGAGTATGTTGTGTGATTAAAGGGACACTGTCAGTGGATGACATGCGCAGTAACAGTCTCACCTCTAACGGACTTTGAAAGTATAACCTTCGAGGTAAATCATTTTGTGGTGCTTTTGACACACTTTGGAATATTCTAGATCTGTTTACGTTTACGATCTGATTTATGTCGCGCCAACTTGGAGTCATAAACTTGAAAACACTAGGCTAGGCTAGTGTTTTCAAGTTTACTCGCGCATGTCATCCATTGGCAGTGTCCCTTTAAGAATTCCTCGTCTAACCTTCAAAAGATGTAGTTGTCGACATATTAATAATTTTCTCGGGCAAATTAGCTTCATTTCACCATCAACTTTACCGCAAGGCCATCAAAATATGAAAAAGGATGTGGCGTTGTCTATTTTTACGCCCACTGAAAAATGACTCATTCTCAATTTCGTTTTTCTAACTCATGTAAAAAATAATAATTGTTTTCTTTTATCTTCTTGAAGCTTGTAACAAAACATTCTCGATAATTCATATTGAATATAATGGACAACATACACCATTTAATTTRTTTATTTATTTATTAAGTTGTATATGGAGTACGTATTTTTGATAAATCAAATGTATGGAAACTGCACTCGAATAAGTCCGTTGTAGGGGTTGCCCGTAATATAGAGGTGTCCGTGATATAGAGGTGTCCGTGATATAGAGGTGTATGTTATATATAGGTGTACGTGATATAGAGGTGTACGTGATATAGAGGTGTCCGTGATATATAGGTGTCCGTGATATAGAGGTGTCCGTGATATATAGGTGTCCGTGATATAGAGGTGTCCGTGATATAGAGGTGTCCGTGATATATAGGTGTACGTGATATAGAGGTGTCCGTAAAATAAGGCGGCCGTAATATAGAGGTGCCCGTGACATTGAGGTTATCGTAATATATCTGCTGTGTACGGAATTCTGTGGAAGAGATGTGTCCTTTAGATATGGGTTTATTACTAGACCGCATGATATAGAGATGCCACGATTATAAAGATAGAGATAGAGATGCCCTAGATATAGAGGTGTCCGTAATATAGAGGTGTCCGTGATATAGAGGTGTCCGTAATCAAGGTTCCCAGGGTCAGGGAAAAGTCAGTGAAATTTGAATTTTTTTCAAGGTCAGGAAATTGTCAGGGAATTCAGTTTGATTTTGGTCAGGGAAATATACAATTTATCGAAAAGTCAGGGAAATTTTGCCTAATTTTTCCTGGTCTTTGCGAAAAAAAGTGATTTCGCTTCTAAATGGTTCGTGCTTCAGCAAGCTATATTTATAGGACTAAAGATAATCTTGTCACCTGGGTTTTTGGTCAGGGAAAAGTCAGGGAATTTTACTTCTAAAGATGAGTGGGAACCCTGGTAATATAGAGGTGTCCGTGATATAGAGGTGTCCGTGATATAGAGGTGTCCGTGATATAGAGGTGTCCGT